CAGACTCACTGATGCAGCAGCCCAATCGCTCGCTCACAAACTTTCATGCCAGTAGCCCACAAAGTAGAATTTTGGCTCACAAGACTCCACAGCTTAGAGGGAGCGTTGCTTGGAACTAGAAATGGGCTCGGAGGGGGACCTGACCCAGAATGGCACCCGGGTGTGGCTGGAAAAGCACATCACCCAAGCAGGAAGGTGCTACATTTGGTTTAGTGGTTAAGCCAGTTTGGTGTCGTGGTTTAAGAGCGCGGTCTCTGATCTGGGAGAACCAGGCTTGATTCCCCGTTCCTCCTCCACATGCAGCTGCTGGTGTGACCTTGGGTCAGTCACAAGTTCTCTCAGAGCTGTTCTCCCAGGAGCAGTTCTCAAAAGAGCTCTCTCAGCCCCGCCTACCTCACCGGGTGTCTGTCTGTTGTGGGGACGGGAAGGGGAAGGAGATGGTCAGCCGCTCTGAGACTCCTTCGGGTAGTGAAGGGCGGGGGATAAATCCAATCTCTTCTCTTCTTCTTCTTCTAAAGACAGGAGTAAGAACTACGCGAAGACAGGGAAGAACGGCTCCCTCCTGCCTCACCCGAGAGCCAACGCTTTCATAAGCATGTCCACAACCCTGGCACGTTTATTTCTTTTTATTCATTCAGTTTCCTTCATTTATAACCCACCTTTCTCCGCAGAAGGGATTCAAACTGGCTGACAAAATTCTCTTCACAGCAACCCTGTGTGGTAGGCGCGATACGGTGTATGTGAAAGGCCCAAGGTCATCCAGCGAGAGTGATCTTGCACCCCGGAACAAGACCCTTGAGATGGGTTTGCAGTCTGCATAAGGACATCATGAGAGTACTGTTCAGACCAGGGGTCCATCTAGTCCAGCATCCCGTCTCACACAGCGGCCAACCAGTTCCTCTGGAGGGTCAACAACAGGGCATAGAGTCGAGGCCTGCCCCTGATAAGAACATCGGAAGGTCCCTGCTGGATCAGACCAGTGAGGGTCCCTCTAGTCCAGCATCCCGTCTCACACAGCTGCCAACCAGTCCCTCTGGAGGACAAATAATGGGGAAAAAGGCCGAGGCCTTCCCCTGATAAGAACACAAGAAGAGCCCTGCTGGACCAGACCAGTGGTCCATCTAGTCCAGCATCCTGTCTCACACAGCGGCCAGTTCCTCTGGATGGCCAACAACAGGGCAGAGAGGCCAAGGCCTTCCCCTGATGGTGCTGCCTGGCTCTGGGATTCAGAGGATTAGTGCCTCTGAATGTGGAGGTTCATCTAGTGGGCACCCTAGTAGCCACTGATAGACTTTTCCTCCATGAATCGATTGAATCCCCTCCATGAATCTATCTAATAAAGCTGTTTATCCCTGTGGCCATCACTACATCCTCTGGCAGCGAATTCCAGATTTTAATCGCTCTCTGCATCTTTCTTAGTGTTGCAACATAGCTGATTTGTGATGGAAAGGGAAGGGGAAATTGAAAAAAAAGAAGCACGCCAAGTATAGCCAGTTTTGGGCACCCCCTTTTAGGAAGGATGTTGACAAGCTCGAGGGTTGGAATCCAAGTCTTACGAGGAAAGGCTGAGAGAGTTGGGTCTGTTTAGCCTGGGAAAGAGAAGACTTAGAGGGGACATAAATGCAGTCTTCAAGTATCTGAAGGGCTGTCATGTAGAAGATGGAGCGGATCTATTCTCTCTTGCTCCGGATTGCAAGACTAGATCTAACGGGTGGGAATGACAAGGGAGTCGATACCGGCTAAATATCAGGAGAAACTTCCTAACTGTCAGAGTGGTTGAGCAGTGGAACAGGCTGCCTCGGGAGGTGGTGGATGCTCCTTCGCTGGGCGTTTTCAAGCGGAGGCTGGACGACCATCTTTTGGGTATGTTGTAGGGCTCTCTTTTGGCTCTGCTCCTGCAGAGTGCAGGGGGCTGGACTAGATGACCTGCAAGGTCCCTTCCAACTCGAACATTCTATTATTCTATGATTCTAACCCAGAGGTGAAGGCAGGCAGTAACTGTTAGCCACCAGTGTTCCCTCTAAGCTGAGTTGGTGTGAGCTAGCTCACAGTTTTTTAGCCTCCGGCTCACACATTTTTGTCTTAGCTCAGGAAGGATGGCCCCAGTGTAAACTAATTTATGCAGTAGCCAAATTGCTCACTCACAACTTTAATGCCAGTAGCTCACAAAGTAGAATTTTTGCTCACAAGACTCCACAGCTTAGAGGGAGCATTGGCCACCACTACCCACGGTATGTTCCCGGGCCCGTTCCCTCCCTTCTGGCTTTTACAGCTGCCTTTTGCAGAATCAGACCATTGGACCACCAAGCTCCGCACCGTCCATTCAGAGTGACAACACCCCTCCAAGGTCTCAGCCAGGCAGAGAGGGATCTTTCCCAGATATGCTACCGGAGATCCTTTTCTGAGGGTACCCTGAGAATCCAGGACCTTCTGATTGCAAAGCATGTGCTCCACCAAGGAGCTATGGCCCTTCCCTGGAAATACACCTCCTGGCAACCTCCAACGAGGCCCCCTTTGGCTATTACGCAGGTAGAAGCGGGGGTCACTTCCTGCGGGAGCACACAGGAGTGGAGCTCCGGCAGTAAGGAGCCCAGGGGGCGGGCACATGCAACAAGCCCTGCCCCCTGCAGCCCTCAGTCGGGCCACGAGGAGCAAGAAGCAGCCAGGTAAGTTGCAGAGCCAACCCCCAGCCCGCCTTCAGGTACAAGCTCTCTCTCCTCTGTGAGGGCAGATCTGCGCGTTCCCCACCCCCCATAGCTAGCAATCCAAAACAGTCCAGTGGCACCTTTAAGACCAAGTTTTATTCAGGTACAAGCTCTCCCTCCTCTGCGAGGTCAGATCTACATGGTCCCCCCTCCCAATAGCTAGCAATCCAAAACAGTCCAGTGGAGCCTGAGCGGTGGGTGTTGCCTTCTGACACACGTCTGGTGATGTCAGGGGGTGTGGCATATGCAAATAAGTTATGCTAATAAGTTATGCTAATGAGCTCGTCCAGCTTTTTTCTAAAAAATGATCCCTGGGTAGAAGGATCTCAGGTTAAGCGCACTGAAATTGCACCAAGGGGCAGCAGTCACTGGCTTGGAGGAAGAAGAAGAAGGAGGAGGAGAGATTGGATTTATAACCCGCCCTTCCCTATCTGAAGGA